TGCTTTAGTACTTTGGCAGCTTGGTGGTTCAACAAAGCCTCTGCCTTAATCATGACACTGCTGAATGTGAAAAATCTTTCCTGACTGCGAGAGTTTGATTGTTGACTTTTCCTATACTGTGTCCAGGTTTCTGGATTCTGTTCCAGTCGCGGCTATCGGGTACTTCAGAGCATCAGCTGAGAAGCTGATTGAGGAGAGAGGAGCAGTTGATGCACTGGCTGCTGCCCTGGCCCACATTTCTGGAGCCACAAGTCTAGAGCAGAGGTCACTGCTCAACTCTGATGCTGTAAGTTATTTATGCATGCGTACAGAACTCTCGCTATTATGTCTTATTAGACACCGTTCACCCTCGCATACAGCTTTCCTAGACGATAGATTTGTGTCTGCCCTTTGTTTTAAAGCCCGTGGGCGTTCTCATGCAGACCTAACATGTTGCCCCTGCCCACCCACTAAGTATAGTGCTTGTCCTCCATCTAGTTAGAAATGCGCTGTGCCTTTAGGTGATGTATAACTGTAATTCTGTCTAATGTGTTGTTTCTGTTTTGTTTTTTTTGCAGGGTTTCAGCACAATGCAGTTGGTGTGTTCCCAGGAGATGCATAATCTGGGTTACGCCTGGAGAACCATCAAAGAGCAGCTAGGAGAGGAGATTGAGAACCACATTCACAGAATGACCTTCCTCAAAGGCAGAACAGTATGTATACACACTTAATATGTAGATATGTGAGCTGCGGCTGGTGTATACATAGATGCTAGACCTTTGTAAAATAATGGGTATCTGTGTGAGAGGGGGAGAGGTTGTATGTTGATGGATGTCTGCGTGTGTACAGTTGCAAAGGACTGGGCTCAGCGAGTGTTCTACTTTCTTATAAATTGTACATTCTTGCAAAATAGTGAAAAAAACCACACCCCAGCGTGCCACATGAATGATAGCAATTGAATTGGCAAATGGAAGTGTGAATTGGAAACCCACTGGTAAATGAAAATGCAAATTAAGAGAAGTAGTGAGTAAAATGTCTTTTTTTAAAATTTTTTATTATAATGTATTGTCCTGTTGTATGGGAATTGAGTCTCTCTGGTCGCACAATAAGCACAAAGCTAATTATCCACAGCATGTAAACAGAGAGACATCTGTTAGTATGAGTGAACATGTGTGACCATGTCTGTTTGACACAGACATTAAAAAACTCGCCATCTCACGCTTATTGTTTTTCTAACAGGGAGTTTGTTTTGACGTCCCAGCTGATAAAGTCAAGGAGATTCAGGTGGGAACAACAATAACCCCAACATCTGTTCAACATATGTAGTTGACTTCTTGTAAATGTGAAAATATATATTTCAACAGACTGGCAGTCCTGTTTGAAATCCTTTGTCTCCCCACTTGTTCCTCCATCAGGAAACATGGCAGGACGGTCGCCGTTGGCAGCTCACCGTGGCCACAGAGCTGCCAGAGCTGGAGGAGAAGCAGTTCAGTAACCGTGGTGACAGAGGCTTTGGCAGTGGTAACCGTGGTGACAGAGGAGGGTTCAGAGGCGGCAGGGGAAGGAGTTTCGGTGGAAGCGGTGGCCGTGGCAACGGGTTCCGGAACGGCGGCAGCGGTGGCTACGGCAACAACAGAGGGGGACACAAACGCACATTCAACCAAGCGTTTGATTACTAAAATCTAATGTGTGGACTGATAGGACAGACTGTCACTCAGCTGGGCTGGCAGTGGTTCTTATTGGCTGGCTGGTCAACATTCTCCATCATGATACAAATTTAATTGTGTAATTTCATATAGAATTAATTGAATTACAGAGTTTGAGACATAATTTAAACAAAACGTGCTGTCGGATGAGTAATACTAAAGGTGCAGTTTACCGTAAAGCTCAATATTTATTTCCTCTGGTCTGCTGTGCATGTCATCCATCTAGATTTTTTTTTTTTGGCTCATCTGCACAGGTTTGGAGGCATGTGCAGCAGAAATGTCTGCCTTCTCTTTAATATAATGTGACTAAATTTCATTTAATCTGGGCTGCTGTTTAATTTAGGTAGTGTTTAGTTTTTTTGTTTTTTTTTTAGTTCAGATTTTTTAAAAAACCCATTTAAGACAGCACAAGTGTCTCTTAGTCCCGTTACATTCAAGAAAAGACGGACATCTTTACACCACACATCTCCAGAGTTGGGCAAAACCCACCAAAATATTCCAGATGGATACATAACTCTGCAGGACAGAGGAGATTTTTTTTTGGGGGGGAGTGAGCTGTTACTTGAATTTACAGATATCTAAAAATGGTTTAAAATGAAAATCTTTGTACCATATATACAAAACTAAGACTGGCAGCCACTTTTGCGATGCCTGATGTGTGTTTCTTTAAGGTGACACTTTAGCTGAAACTTTTGGAATGACATTGCAACTAAATAAACAAGCACCAAATGTAATTACTGGTTATATAACCTATATTGAAATGTTGGCAATATTCAATAACATGACCTAAAGTTGGAACATGTCATCTATTGGGTTTTAGGTAAAGTGTTCATTTTTATGGGTGTTTGGGGAACATTGGCAGCAGTCACACTTGAGGCTTTTGTCCAAAATGGAAGATACACAATCTTGTTCACGTCACATTTGACGTACGAGTGTGCTATCAAACCTGTTCAGTATGTTGCACTGTCACGTTTGAGATGCTTCTACTCTGCACCCGCAGAGAACAGCGATGGTGTTGACCTTTACAAATGTGCTCAGTGTCAGATTGCTGCCTTACCCTCAGATGAAACCTCTCTCCCCAAAAATATGTTGGATGATTGCTTTGCAATCCGCCTCTATTTAATAACTTTTGTCTACTGCTTCCATTCATTTGAATGAAATGACTTATTCATTAAAAAGGTCAAGTCATATTGTGTTTATTCCTTCCAAGGGGGTAAAATAAGTACGTAACATGCTTTTGAAATAGTTTAAGGCATTCGTCTTCTGTCAGAATCAGACTGGCAATAAACTACACTCACTGAGCACTTCAATAGTAAATTATCTAATTAACTAGTGGTAAAATTATCTAATTAACTAGTGGTAAAAAGGCATCTCATTGCATTTAGGCACGTAGAAATTTTCAAGATAACCCGTTGAAGTTTAAACTGGGCATGAGAATGGAAATTCAAATAAGTTTGAATGTGGTGTGGTTTTTGATGCTAAACAAGCTGGTAATCTACTGGTGTGTTTTCCACACAATCATCTCTATGATTTGCAGAGAATGGTCTGAAAAAGTAAAATATCCAATGAGTTGAGTTCTACGATTGAAAATGCCTTGTTAATTCTAGGTCAGAGAGAAATGGTCCCAAACTGCCCAGAGTTGATAGGAAGGCAGCAGTGACTGTAACAACCACCCTGATAGCCACTCCTATCACAATGGCCAGAATTTGCACAGAATAACCAAAACTGGGCAACAAAAGCTTGAAAGACTGACGAGTCTTGATTTCTGATGCATCATTTAGCATAAACGGTTTGAAAACATGGATCCATCTTAGTTTGTATAAACAGTTCAGGCTATGGGAGGTGGAGTAATGGTCTAGGAGATGTTTTTTTTGGCATGCGTTGGACCGCCATAGTACCAAGTGAGCAACATTTAAATGCTGCAACCTACCTCTGTTCCTTTGTGACCACAGCAGCAGGAAAATGCACCACGCAAAGCTCAAATAATCTCAAGATGGTCTCCACAGTCATCAGATCTCAATCCAATAAAGCACCTTTGAATCTATAAAATAGTGCATTCACATCATGGATGTGCAGCTCTGTGGACCGTAATCTTTGAGGAACATTTCCAGCAACTTGTTGAATCTATGCCGAGAAGTCCAGCCCAGTGCTAGCAAGGTCGGCCTAATGAAGCATGTGCTAAATAAATATAATACTAAGTGCACGGGTGGATTATTAACAGTTTTGTTTCTGCTGTATTTTATGTGCAGTCAGACTTTCACACCAGACTGAGAAGAAACAAGTACACAGAACTAAACGTTGCAGGGTTAGTCCACTGATTCGGTTCCTTTACCCAGCACACAACCAGAGCAACACTGTAACTCTGCATTACACCAAAAAACAGACAATCTGAAATCTGCATGATGTACGTTTAATTATTTAAATGAGCCAAACATTGCTATAAAATAACAAAGTTGAGTCACAGTACATACATATTCATTTTACTGTATTGCATAGTTAGATCAGAAGTTGTAAGGTTATATTGTTGACAGACAGCTTGACATTTTGTTCGATCGTTATTTAATTTTTTTCAATACAAGCATATTATTGCTCACAATATTTTTTTAATTTACTTGTACCAATTTTGTCCATTTTGTCTAGCGCATTTCTGTACTTGGCAAACATAATCACAATATACTGACACAATATTGGAAGGGCAACACAGTTTAATTACATACACCACAATATAAAATAAACTAAAAGAATTTCTTAACAATAGTCTATGTGCAAATATTGCATTACTGGCACTGTTTCCTGCACATTCAAGTATCTGTCAATATTTTAATATTGACCAAGGATTTAGATACACACTTTTCATAAATACCCAAACAGATGAAAATATTATACTCCCCTCTACATCTAGCCCAGTACTGTAGTTTTATTGATTTGGATGCAAGAGTTGAAGAAGAACAATTACCGGATTTACACAGATTTTTCAGTAAACTTAAAATGCATCTTATTCAAAGAGCATATTTTTTTTTTTTTTAAATCTGTTTTATATTGAGATGCAAAATCAGTAAACCTGATGGATTCAACTATAGTTCTGATAGCAAAAACAGCAATCTTACAAGCAGTTATATTAAAATGAAACAGCCAATCATTAAAATCACTCCATCCTCTGATATTATTGTGTCAGGTCCCATTCTCACATGTTAATAATTCATTGTGCAATGGCAAACAAAGTTTATTGGATCTGTTCTGACTGATTTCCCCTGTGCCATTTGGCCTCCCCTGCTGGATTATACCGGGAGGCAAAACAGCTGCTACATAATAGATAAAAAGTAAATTATTTCCTGTGATGGAAAGCTAAAGACATGGGATGTCTACAAGGACTGTGTGACAGTGTGTGCTATGATCATGACCAGAATGTACCGTGTTTTAATGCACAGTGAAACCTGAGGAAAATGAACCATAGTGGAGGAAACAGCCCTGAGGTGGGAAAAAGCTTGCTAATGATGCCACTTTAGGCTTGTTATTGCGTCTCTGCAGCTACATCTTCTTGTTTCTGACTACAGGTCTTCAGTTGTCAGGAAAATTTCATTGTGTGCAGGGTTCTCCATAATGAAGTGGTCATCACCAGTCTCGTCCTGGATGACAGGGAAAAAGGTCAATCAGCATTTTCCAAAATACATGAGTCTCTATGTTTTAAGCTTTGAGAAGATGCCGTGTCTGGATTAGCGTTATGGACAGTTAACATTTTCATTGAGACCACACTGGTGGAATCTTGGAATGGTTTGAGGCGCTAAATTCGTCGTCTGTGGCATAACTGTTGTAATTTGGCTTGACCTGACCTTAGCCTTGAACGTGACTGTGTCAGTAGCTGATAGGACTAATGCTTTCTTGTATTGCTACTTTTACTTAAGTTAAAGGTCTGATTGCTTCTACCTCATCTGCTGATGTTATTCTCCCCAGACGTTTCAATTCCGTCTCCAGTAAATGCTTTTAATGATCCACACTGCGTGCTGCAAATGCCCATGTCATGTTTACTGGTTTAGAAAAGTTTTGCGTCCCAAATTGGCTATTAAGAGGTAATGGCTGTAAGGAAAGTGTTATGCCAAAAAGACAATTTAACAGAAATGGGCACTCTTCAGATCTCAGCATCATGTGCGATCATCAGATTTTTAAGATTTCTTTAGTATTAAAAAAAAAAAATCAGTAATAGTTGTGAATATTACACAAATTACACATTTCTTATAAGTTTATATTATTTAGTTTAGTTTATACTTCGTTCATATATGTTTGTTCTACAAGTATTAATAACATTTTTCACAATGGTGCATTATTAAAAAAGTGAATTACAGTTACATCCAGTTTCTCTCGTATAGTAATGATTATTACCCACTTTCACCTTTTTTAATAATTTATGAATCTGGTTTACATAAATACATTTTTTGTCACTTAATTAAGAAACAAAGTCATAAGAAAACACGTTTGTGTGTCTACAAATGCCATATGCTTCTATAAATGTGAACCATTTTATTAATGATTAATAACTATTTTAAATATTTTGCAGTCTATAAAGAAATCATCATGGTTTAATAGCTTTTTTTCCCTGCAGGGACACAAAAGTAACTGAACTAACAAAAAGCAAGTAAAACCCAAAAGCTCTTAATTTTTATGTTGTTATGTTATTTTTAAATGTATCTATTTGTTGAAAATCATATGGAAACTAGTTAGTTATTTTCATTCAAGTATTAATTAATTATTGTGGCCCTGGTAAGTTTTGAACTGTTCCTAGCAAGTTGAAAACGTTTCATTTAATCCTAAATCGATTGAAATGTACAGAACGATTAAAACAAATACTTAATTGCTATATTGCGATTAAACCGTACTGTATGTGAAACCTGTTTGTGAAGTTTGGATTTGTGCAGTTATTCTTTAATTTATTTTGTTGTTTTAATCATGTTAAGTCGGCAGCAGTTTGATTTACTGCCGGTATGTGTGGGGCCCGTGTGACGTAGTGGCCGAACATAATCAAGCCTCTTGATTATTTGTATGCTTTTGAGTGTAATTACTTACTTCGTCTTTCTCTTTGTAGTTTTTCTCTGAGCTGCGATACGACACCACATGGATCAGGGTGTAGACTCTGAAAACAAAAAGGCACAAGGATGAAACACGAGGGGAAAATGTGGGAAAATGAAAATGAAATCGATGGATAACAGTGACAAGGACAAAGTCATTATAACTCTCCATAAAGACAGAACTCAAAGACTCCCTGCTCATGATTGGGGGGTGCGGGTGGGGGTTATCCAGTGCCAGATTAATAACTTTGATTAAATTTCTCTGCTTCTCAATCAAGCCTGCTGGATTGTCCGGCTTCATTTTCAAGGTCACTAAATTTGTCAAAAAGTACAACCTGTGAGAAAAAAATAAAAGTTAAATGGGAAATGATGTGTTTACCTGTGATATAACATGGCCAGAAACTGCACAATGAGAAGAATAGCAAAAGACAACAGAAACATCAAAGTGAGAGGCTCCACCTGTCAGAAAAAAAGCAATAGAATGGATTACTCATTACATCAGATGTTACAGGAGTTCAAACAGTTATTTAAAAAGAATCACAATCCTTCTTTAACTGCAGCACATGCATTTAGGAGTGTCTGTTGTGGGTCCCAACCTTGAGGTATTCATCACTTTTAGTTCCATTGGGATAATACTTTGGGATCTGGATGCTGATGACATCATTTCCAATGGCCTGCAAGAAGAAGGTAGCTACCACCCAGAGCACGTTTATGATGAAATACAGGAAGACGGCCTGTGGAGAGGTAAGAGAATTTAATATTTGATTTAATCTTGCTACATTTCAAGTGGATAATTGTTTTTAAAGGTTTCACTCCCAACTTGCAACCTGACGCATCAGAGTATTTTTTCATAATGATCTGGGATCATTCATTTGTTATCATTGTCATCATCAGATTGCTGACCTTGTTTCTCAGTGACTTTAGTTCTCTGTTGACTTCCTCCTGATGTTCTTTACTGTGAGTGATTGGGGTCAGGTAGCGCTCGATTAGCTTGTTCCAGAAGTCGTTCTCATTCTAAACACACACACACAAAAATGCACACAGTTCAATAAAAGAAAAATTTATTGATTTTAACTTTTTTAACTGAATAGCCCCATTTAGCAAATATAAATTTTATTTTCCTTAGAAGATCAGAAATCTGCTAATGAATAACATTTCAGGACGGTTTCTTTGTTCACTATACCTTAATTACTAAAAACGAATGGCAAAATTTAGAAACATTTATATCTACCATGCATTGTGAAGTAGTAATACTGAGTTTAAATACTCATTTTAAATACAACTTTTTGTATCTACCTCTATCTCACAGACCCGACAGCTGAATAAACATCTTACCTCTTCTAGCTTTTGCACTTGTGGGGCAGCGAGTGTTTTCTCAATGGCTAGCTTTACTCTCTTTTCCAACTTCTCCATTCGATTGGTCTTAAGGGTTTGCCGTGCCTGAGACACAGAGAGAAGTCAGGTCAGTTATGTATTTTCTGCAGCAGCAGTTTTCAGAAGATTAGAAACTCTGGAAATCAGGTTTCCTCTCAAATTAATTTTTAATTTTGTTTTAAAAGCAACATGTCATTATTTTATTTACACCAAAGTTGTCATCACCTGTTTGTTTAGCGCAAGTTGTAACTCCTCCAGCCGATAGTCTGACAGAACGTCTTCAGGCCCCACTGAATTGAGCTCTACATTGAGTGTGTCTGTTAACATTAGCACCAAGTCTTCGCACACTTCATCGTAATCTTTGCTACGGAGTGCATATCTGAGGAGAACAAAAGCAGTTTAACTACACAATTGCAGCTTTGCCATCGGGGTAATTGTACAGCATCTTAAACGTAGTTTTAGTGCAAACGTTAATTATTCTTGTAAAAATGCCTGCAAGTGAACAACAAAAACATGCAAATACTTGGATGATGTTTATTATTTACCGTATTTGTTCTTGTAGATTTCTCTTCATGTTGAAGTATGTCAGCTTTTTCAGAAATTCTTCCTTCACTGGGTGCACCCAGTCTGCATACACATGAAAACACACACAGAGATAGCATCATTACTCTGTTTTATATGCTACATAATGTATAGTATATAATGATCCACAGCTACATGTATAGCTGAAAATTACAGTGTGGTGCACTCAGGGACCTAAATGCATTTAGAGTGCTTCTCACCAGCGGCGGGAATCTCTGCCTCACGAATCATATAGTCATCATCATGATCACTGTCTTCTTCATCAGATGAACTCATGCTCCTGTTTTCAGCACCATCGTCACTGCACACAGCACACATGCACTTATTGTGAGCTTCTTAATTCCAGCGCACATCTCATTTTGGTCTTATAAACAGCTGTGTTCAGTATGAGACTTGAATGGAACTGTGTTATTTTCAAGGCCAGTAGTATATTGGATTTTTGACCTGATGGCAGCAAAGATTTCTGGTAAAATAATTAATTAAATTCAATTTGATTTATATAGGGCCAGATCAGCCTGTGAGCGAACAACATTAGAGAGAAATGACTGACCAAATAAAGGAGAAGAAACAACCACGACAACAACAACAAAACCCTACCTGCCACTGGAACCCAGGTCACTGCTCTTTGCGGCCTTCTTCCTCAAATCATCAACTAGAGGTCTTGCAATCTCTTCCATGGCTTCTTCTTTCTTGGCATCTTGTTTGGTGTGAGGCTCCAGCATTAAGGCTGGGTGTAGAGGTGTTTCGTTTTGGGTGATTGCATTGGCTGGGATGTGCTGTGTAATCTGACCTGCGAGCTGCTGAAATATCAGACGCTCCGTTTCCTGGGTTATCTGTAAAGCAACAGAGTTCATTAATCCATTCATCCATCACCTGCTGTCAGGTATGTCGGGAACTGTCTGGTAACCATACCTGTATCTTCATGTCCCAGCAGCAGCATCTACAGGTTTTGTCACAGAGAAGATTGTGTAGTTTCTTCTGCTCTACACCTCCCCTAATGGACAGACAGATATGAGGATGCATGGTCACGAAGAGTGATTGATATGACAAGATTAGAAAAAAAATAAATTCCCTGCTGTCTTATTTGTTTTTGTTTGTTTCATGGATGAGTGTCAAATATGCAACAGGAAGTGGATGAACTAATGGATTTGGTCAGCTTAAAAGTACTGCATGACTATATATATATATATATATATATATTTCTCTAAAGGCTCAGGCTTTTTTCTACTCTTCGATCCTTATGATGTCAAAAACAGGTGATATTCTTGATATGGTCATTTTAGGTCCAGAGCTCTGGCTGTAAGCACAGCAGCTCCTCCACCGACTGTTCAGATCTTATGAACTTTACACAGTAATGTTACGTTTTGGGGAAATGCAACATTTCTGTTTGAGATTTTAATTTGTTAAAATTTTCCATTCTTATTTTGATCCCTATTATTGCTATTTCATGATAATTAATTAAACAAACAGTGGTCTAAAAATAATGCATTACTTGTTGGTTTCCCTTGTGCCCCAGGACACATTGTTCATGTTAACCAGCGAGTAGATGGTCAAAAGGAGATATCCACTGGGGATGCAGATGAAATACATCAGACCATAGATAATCAAGACTGCAAGAAAGAAAAGGAAACAAAGCCAAAAAATGTCACATGACATAAAGCAACATCACACAAAAAATGTGAAATAATGTTTAGAAGAATAATAATGAACATACGAAACTCCTCAGGGTGGAGTAAAGCTGTTATCAAGTACATGATTGCCATTGAAATCAAAAACAATCCAGTGGGGGTCAAGAAGGTTTGCTGAATCACCATGTCACCTAAAGGAGAAAAAAGCATTTGCACATTTAATGCACATTTATTTGAAAGATTTGTGACTGCAACAACATACAGTCAAACAACAATTCTACCCACCAATGATGGAAAAGAAGGACGCAGTCATGAGGAATGCATACAGAACACTCATAATGCCGGCAATGGTTATTTGGGTATTCGACTTGGTTAAAAAGCAAATGAGGATGTAGAACACGGGGGGAACACACGCGACGACGATGGAGAGTGTACCAGTGAGTTTGAAGACAAACTGGAAAGCACCTGGAAGGAAAAGATGGGTGGGTGGG